CTTGTAGGGTTGGTGAGAGGGAAATGAAGAAACCTGCCCCTGACATACACCAAGAAACGAGTGTCACCCCAGATTTGTTCTGCTTTCCTTTCACATTAAGGAAGGGGCTGGCTCCTAGGCTTCGCAGCTGAAATCCAGTACACCAAAAACATAAACACTGCTTGTGGTGCCTATACAACATTGGTGCACTACATTGTGCCTGTGTGAATCAAAGTAACATCACACTAAATTGTGTTGAATTTTTTCATTAGTTTGTCATAAAAAATGGCAGGATATTTTGCCTAAAATTACCTGTGTCTCATAATTTCTGTGAACATTGGCTCCTGTGGTCTATGGGCACCAAATGACCACCGCAGTCGGTGCGCCCCTAAACTCCAATAAACAACAACAGCTCTGGTCTGAAATTCTTGCTGACTCTGTGCCAAACTCTGGAAGCTCTGATCTTGTATATGTATGCACTGAAATTATTGCCTGCAATCTCTCCGTTATGCCAGGCATGTTTGTGGTAACCTGCATTTTGGCAGTCTATGCTGAAACCCCCCCCCCCCCAAATGAAAAGGAAACTAAACCACTGATTACTTGTGGGGGTGGGATGAAAGTTATGTGTGAGGACAGTAAAAAGGCTCCATTAGGCAAAACAAAAGGGTTTCATGACTTACTCATAGATAGCCATGGCTTTATTCCTATGTTTGAAGTGCAGCCCTGGCTGCTTGGCATATATTCTTCTAGAAATTTGTGTGGCTTATGGGCAAAGAGCTATAAAAGCCATTGTCACGCCACTGAAGTGCTTATCTTAAAGCATATATTTGCCCATTACTGATGCTCACAGCAAAGTGCTACCAAGTTGAAAGGCAATCCTGATGTTGTCATGTGCAAGTTGAAGCCTGTACATCCCACCCATAACAGAATGAGATATTGCAAACAGGCAGATTTAGGAAAGTGCTGTTGGTTGAGCCTTTTCAAAATGATGTGTTCAGCTGGGAGCCTCTCTCTAGAACAGGGTGTGATGACTTTTAAGGACAAGAAAGTGCAGGATGAAATTTTGGTCCATTGTGATAGGCTGACTGTAAGAGATGCCTCTCATAGACTGTCATTGATCCTGCAGAAGACCACACAGGTATTTCATCCATATGATGTGCTGTTCCAAAGTTCCAAACAGATGGACAGCATGGTCCAGGCATGTGCTGAGCAGTTTACAGGCAGAAACATGGTGCACCTTTAGTGCATGATATCAATATTGCAGTCACTAGCCTTGACCAATTCTGATGTTGTAACATGAACTCAAGTGGAGATCACAGTATCATGATGGTCATGCACATAGTGCAAGCTTCAAGAAATGAGATTGATAGTCCCTAAAATATGAGATTGCCTCAGCTCTGTTTCATGGCTACCTGCTTCCCCATGTTACCATGCCAACCTCAGGCTTCCAGATTCATAGAATTGGTAAGATGGTATACTGCAAGTGATGTTTTGAATTGCAGTTGCTTCTCATATTGTGGTCAGCTGCAATTGGCCTATGTACACCCACTTATTTGAAAGATATCATGGTGATGTCAAATTACCAGATTCGTAACAGCTGATGATGTGCCACAAAATAAATAATACAGATTTTTTAAAATAGGTCAATCATGTCAGATATTGAGGATAACTAAAATGTAATCTAATTGACATCCAGTGTCCACTCACTGGAAGGTTAGGCAATGGATTGAAAACAGCTTATAAAAACATGTGCTAGAACATCTGGTGATGCATGCCTTCATACCTCCACCAGGCTCACAAGAGGTTAGATACAAAATGGGGGGAATGCTTAGTAATGATGTCACTTAACACAGTCTGATCAAGACATCTCTGTGGAAGCAAATGACATAAGATGAAAATGGCAAAGATTGATATGTGTGATCATTGTCAACAGTGGTTTCTTGATCATTCTTGGTTGTTAGGAGTCTGTTGTTTTGATGATCTTGTAGATTCAGCAGTACCCTTATAAGGCATAAAATATCCTGCACCTTTTTTGTTGAAAGTTATGTGTATGAGCTTAATAAGCCTCACATAACTTTGTGAGCCTGGTTTTGTGTGTGGTGCATTGTGTTGTATGTGATGAGCACCTTAAACAATATGTTTGCAAACTGAAAATAGAAAATGTGTCTTACATGTTCCCCATTCTAGATGAACATGTTTTTCATTCTACTACTTATTCTCCATTAAACCCACATTCTGTAGGACTTAAAGCATGGATAACCATCTGTTCATGTAAATTGTGATCATCATGCATTCACACCATGTGATTATGTGTTGCTGGGGGAGTTTGGTTAACTAGTCTGAAGGTATTGTGAGCAGCTGCCTGTATGTTAGAGTCACAGTTTGATTTTCTCCAATATATTTTCTGTTTGGTGGAGTGTTTTAATAGTCAGAACTCATGCTATCATCTAGCTTTTGGTACATCATGTGATAGGTGGTGATTTTTTCTTAAATATTTCAGTGCTGAATGTGGCATTTTTTCCCTGTCTACCAGTGGCTCACATGTATGCTAGATTGCTAACAGTGTCTCACACCAGTTTTTCTTAAGCATTGCAATTTGTGATGTTGTCTCAGCTAGAGAAAAGTACATCTTTTGCATTTTGAGACATTTATGTTATGTTCTTTCAGCTCCTCAGCATGGCTAGAAGTAGAGATGCTGACCCAAGGTCAGGATCGGAATCTGACGCTGGCTCCTCGTCCTCTTCGGTCGCACCCCACTCGCCCCTCAAAAAACGTCCGCACAAGGTATCTTCTAAGGTGCATAAATCCAACACAAAAGGCTCTTCAGGACCCTGAGACAGAACATGAAAAGGAGAACCGCAAGCGGAGGAAGCGTCGCAGTCCGGAAGGGGACGAGGGGGCCGCGCTCAGGCGCGAGCGCGTGCAGCGGCCCGAGTCCGCCTGACTCGTCGCCGACGCGCCGGGAAAAGAAGAAAAGGAGGGGCGACTTCGACAGGGGGTCTGCTAACACTGGATCCGAAAAAGGATCAAAAAACGGGGACCGGAACGCGCGGGACTCAAAGTCAGACTTGAAGAGGCAACGTGCTGGTCGCGAGAAACGCAGGTTAGTTACGGTGTGAATGTCACGGTCAACAACTAAGTTAACGTTGTCTTACTCTCGAGTCTCCGCCTATTGTCACCGTATTCGATCGTATTTGTGAGCAATCTTTGTATGTCTCCACATGTCACTTAAAATCCATTATCAAATCTATAGCGTGTGCGCGCACGCACACTCTAAATCAATCGCATTTCTGTGTGTCTTCGCGAGTTGCTCCAAATCAGAGCACCGCTGAACAAATTTTTCGCAACCTGTCGTTACCTGCTACCTCTTCGCCGTACATACTACCTGCTTTAAGGGTTAATTAAGCATACCAACAAATTCTTGAGTTGAATGGGAGATGTGCACCATAAATTATCATCCACAGGCCGCATGAAGTTGATCAGCTTACGCTTATCTGTAAATGGCCGAGACGTTCCAATTTGTCTACGAGCACTGCGAGCTGCTCGTAGACAAGTCGAGCATTTTGAGCCATGAGTTGTCTCAGAGAGCAGGGTAACTTGTCTCTGAGAGCACGCTATCTGCGAGCACTGCGAGTCATAACTTGTCACCGAGGGTAGAGGTAACTTTTCTCTGAGAGCACACTTTCTGCGAGCACTGCGAACCATAACTTGTCTCTGAGAAGCAGGATAAGCGTACTCATTTCTTGCTTGTGGAAATTCGACCATTTATAAATAAAATAAAGGGTCCTGCTGGATGATACTCTGGCCCCTGTCCTGCTTCACAATCCGTCGTCATCACATGGCATCACCTCACAAGCGTCACCAGCCTGGTGCATCAGAGGTAGCCGCTTGAGGCGGCGGCCGTGCACGTCACGCGCGCTGACGCGGGTCCCGGACGGCCTGCAGGGATGAGCTCGCCGCCTGCGGACAGCCCGGCCCGGTCCCGCTCCCACCACATGAGCCGAACCGACGGCCGAGATCGGGACGATCGCGGCCGCCATGGACGCCCGAGAAGCACCGAGCGGTCGCGGTGAGTCTTCTAGAAACGAGCCTCTCTCCTGATGGTGTGTGTTTTTCGCGAGTGGCCGTTTTTTTGTGCTGTATATCGGAGTGCTTTTAAATGTGATTGTGAGCCCATCAGTCCTTACCTGGCCCCCTAGAAATATGCACATTTTGTGATTTGAACAAAAAAAGTTGTTTAATTTCCAGCCTTGCGGTGCGTTTTTTAACGCTTTTCTCGAGAATTTCAATGAGCAGATACAAAGACCGAAACGCTGCTTTTGTCAGTTGCATCCATTCAATGTCTCGATCCATCCAATGGTCGTCATGAATGCTGCTGTTTTTGTTCTGATTTCTGCGTCTTAGACCAGCAAGGTTACATCTGTTTTGATGGATTTTTCAGCCTGTCGTAATTTAACTATTTCGAAGCTTGATGTTATTATCTTACGATACTGTTGTATTAACTGGTCAGTGGACCATTTTCCATTTACCAAGTGACGGTTTTACCGTCACTTGGTAGATGGAAGATTTACGTCAATCCCCCTACCAAATCCGCGCTAGCAATTCCCGACGGGCCGCTCACCTCGACCGGTGTCCCGGCCAGGCGGGACGCTGTCAGTCCGCAGGCGGTGCGGGTCAAGGAGGAGCCGAGCTCGGAGGCCGAGCAGGAGCAGCGTGACCGGCGGCGCGGACACGAACGGAGCGGCGACCGGTCGCAGGAGCGGCGCCACCGGCGGCGGGAGCCGGAGCCGGAGCCGGCGCCGGAGCGCCGCGATCGCCGCCGAGACGAGGAGCGTCGCCGGCCTCCCGCCGCCGACCAGGAGGTACGCCAGCCCAAGCGCGAGCACGAGCGCGAGCGGCCACGCGGTCGCTGGGACGACGACGAGGCCGCCAGCGACGGCGACGCGGAGCGGCGGCGGCGGCGGCGCGAGGGCGGTCCGCGCGACCCACCGCCGGCCGGCGGCGAGCGGTGGGGTCTGCAGCCAGCGCCCGAGGCGCCGCCCGCCGAGCCGGCCATCGAGAAGGAGCTGCCCAACTTCGGCCTCAGCGGCAAGCTGGTGGAGGACACGAACACGGTGAACGGCGTAGTGGTCAAGTACAGCGAGCCGCCCGAGGCGCGCAAGCCGCGCCGCCGCTGGCGCCTGTACGTGTTCAAGGGCGAGGAGACCATGCCGACGCTGCACATCCACCGCCAGAGCGCGTTCCTCATGGGCCGCGACCACAAGGTGGCCGACATCCGGATCGACCACCCGTCGTGTAGCAAGCAGCACGCGGTGCTGCAGTACCGGCTGGCGGCGTGCACGCGCGCCGACGGCTCGAGCGGTCGCGCTATCCGGCCGTACATCATCGACCTGGACTCGGCCAATGGCACGTACGTCAACAACAAGCGCGTCGATCCGCGCCGTTACGTGGAGCTCATGGAGCGAGACGTGCTCAAGTTTGGCTTCAGCTCGCGCGAGTACGTGCTGCTGCACGAGTCGAGTCGGGCCGACGAAAGCAGCGACGAGCAGTGAGTCGGTGGGGCGGGGGGGGGGGGGGGAGACGCTGGTAGATACGGTAGGCTGGTGCTGTTTGTGTACATACGGTGTAGGTTTGTGGAAGCTGGTGAACCGTGGAGTGCTCGAGCTGTGAACCGTGAAATGCGTGGGCTGCGAACCGCGAAATGCTCGAGCTGTGAACCGCGACATGCTCGAGCTGCTACCCGTGAAATGCTCGAGCTGTGAACCGCGACATGCTCGAGCTATGAACCGTGAAATGGTCGGGCTGCGAACCGTGAAATGCTCGAGCTGTGAACCGTGACATGCTTGAACTATGAACTGTGGCATGCTTGAGCAGTACTGCGACCTCATTGTACAATACATTGTGAGCATTGTAACAGGAGTATTTCCGGGAATGCGCCGATAGTGTAGTGGTTAAGCTGCGCATCTGGAAAACCAGAGGCACGGAGTTCGATTTCCCGCGCTGTTTGCCCTTCCTGCCGGGAATGAAAGACAAACGAAACCATGTGGCCTCAGTAGCTGAGTGCGTCGCCAAGCCCATTGATAATGACGGGGGCATTGCTGATGTGAAGTGTAGGAACTAGAAGCCTACAAAAGTTATTTGTCAATGATGCCTCCATGTTGTGCTCATTGCTACCGGATGGCGCGGAGATAAAACTGCAGCAGTTTACTGGATCTCTCAACCACCGAAGTCCGGGTAACAGCCATTAAGTGCATCAGGTACGGAGTCCCTACATCTGATCATTCATGTCGTGCAGGTCGCCCTAAACAACAAGGTTCTACCAGAAATCCGTCGTGAATCTTGGCGACCTTGATCCGGTTGTGAATTAGTCATCGCCAGGAATACTGAGGTCAGAGCATATCCTGTTGTGGATTAGTCATCGGCAGGAATACTGAGGTCAGAGCATACTCCTGTTGAGGATTAGTCATCGCCAGGAATACTGAAGTCAGAGCATATCCTGTTGTGGATTAGTCATCGCCAGGAATACTGAGGTCAAAGCATGTCCTGTCGTGGTTTAGTCATCGTCAGGAATACTGAGGTCAGAGCATAATGCTGTTGTGGATTAGTCATCGCCAGGAATACTGATTTCAGAGCATACTCCTGTTATGGATTAGGGCGCATAGCCTCCTAGGCTCAAGCGTCCACCCTGGTATCAGTAATTCAGGATTCGTTTTTCCTCGTTTCCTGTCATACAAACCTTCGACCTTGCTCGGGTTCAGTACTAAGTGGGTGTGGAAAAAGAGAGGTTTGGCATGGAGTAGAAGGCATTTGACTTTTGTGTGCTATTTGTTAGTTTTGTCAATACCAATCTAGGAAAGAAAGAATAGTTATAATAACAAAACAAAAACAAGAGATTCCCACACGGCGTCTCCGCAATCAATGTACCTATAACCTAGCATGTCATAACCAACATAGCAGAGAAAATCTATTGTGCTATTTTAAAAGCTGCAATTGTAATCGCGGACGTTGCCCAGCAGTCATGAACATCACATCCATCGCCGTAACGTGCGCCTAACCCATTTTTGTGAGTCAGACACCATCACAGCCTTCCCCAGTATCACCGCACCGCACGTCTCCGCCATTCCAGAACGCGATCTACGAATTGCGGCTCTTTGCGCTGCTGATACGACCCACACTTTTAGTTCCACTTGGCACTCTTTTCTAACGACAGCAGGAACTACCACTACTGTACCGTCTACAAGGACCAAAACTATTATTACTGGGCATCCATTTTGACCTTCATCTCACATACGCATACAAACGCACAACGTATACACTTACGTACATACGCGTACAGATGCATATGCATAGATGCATAACGCAAACACATGTGTCAATACACGCTCATACACACACAAGCACACACCTATACGCAGCGACAACTCAGAACACGTCCAATGCACGCACAAATATCGCAAAAACGGGTTTGTTCGCGGCACCAAAATTACACCCTGTAAGCGCGACGGTTTCCAGTTACAATTAACGTAATATCAGCGGCAGCTAACGCGCATTATCCATGTTGCAGGAAGATCAGCAGATTCACGATCCAGACGTGGCATACATAACGCAAAATATATCACAAAAGGTCATATGTGATCCTACCAAGGTACTGTGCGCTGTAATAGGACTTTATTTCGAATGTCAGGCATTTCATCCATCTCTCTCCGCAACACTACAAAGAAGCGGGATTGGAAGCTGTTGTTGGCAGGCTGAAAATACACGTCACATCTTTTGTAGAACTCAACACTCCTTAGTAATGTTTATCACCGCGTTTATGGTGCCAGGCGAGTCGTCTCCTAGAAGTAAACACTAAATCCAATGGATTTCAGTGGGCCTGACACTGCTTGTTGCTTATTGCCTTTGTCACATGTATTTTGGGCATTCCACGAGTCTGTGAAGCACAGTCAATTCTCACTGACAGTGCCGGGATGCCGGATACCCTCTCAGGATGCCGGTAGTGTAGTGGTCAACGTGTCTGCGTTAACGCGTCTGCGTGGGTGAGTCTTATATGACCCTTACGGGGGTGACACGGGGGTATTTCTTCTCGGCGTGTGCGCCCTTTACTTGATTCCCACTATTCTGCGACGTCCTTGATTTCTTTGAAGACGGTTCGTCGGTTACATTCAGTCCATTCGTTACTAAAGAGCGTTTTACAAGTAGTGTTTAAATATGGTAGATATTCCTGGTAACCAACCTCAGTCTGCCTCCCCCGATGACGTGAGTAGCCGCTTTTGCCTGATTATCAGCTGTTTAATTTCCTTTGAGTCCGTTATGTCCGGATATCCAAAAAAGCCTACAGCTGCAGTTCGTTTCTTTCAGCATATGAACGGTATCTTTCATATCAGTGGTAAGAGGGTGGGTGCTTCCTCTGTTTTCCTCAACACTAAGGACGGACGAGTCGGTACATGTGACAATGCAAGGAACATTTCGTCTTGCGATGTACCTCACAACCAGTACGACGGCCTCTGCGTCCGCTGTGAATACCAAAGACTTTTCCACTGGTTCATTCGTCGAGATGGCTTTGATGCGGCAGTATCGTGTCACCCGTGTGAGAGGCTGGCGGCTGACTACCGGCTGCCGATTAGTGCTGCTTGGTGTAAAAGTGCGGTTGGTGCATATATCTGTAATTGATTTTGTGATGTGACAAATCCTTGAAGAATTGGGTTGGTATGTGGTTGAATGGCATTGACCTTGCTCATGCCTGAGTACTCATATTTACAGAGTGCATGCCTCAAATGGTATCCCCACTGGGCTGGGGAGGATTGACATCCCATGCATTTGTTTTCCAGTCTGGGAGGGAGTGAGCCTGCCCCTTTGTTGGTATGTCCTTAATGCACCTCCTATTTTGTGATTCTTATTTGAATTGAGTAATTCATTTCAGAACATGTCTTCAATTTTATGGAAATTGTTGAAACTTCAAATGCTGCAAATATATGAAATTCAACCAGTTGAAGTCATTGATAAATAACACTTCCAACATTCTGTGATGTGATTTTATATACCTGTGTTCTAGATTTCTTAGTTTGATCTTTTTGATTCCTCTCCAAGGGTAGTGAGTTTGTCCCATTAGGTTGTGCTACCCTGGAAGAGAAAGCAGCAAGCCTTGAGTGGTCTGAACAACAAAGTTTTTAAGTCAATTGACCTGTTGTGAAAAATAACCTTCACACATGCAAGTTTATCTTACTGCCTCAGTGCCTTTCTGTTATTGCTTTCATCTTTCTTGATGAATCTTATAAGAAACATAACACATGCCATATGTGATCAGTCTGCCAAGCTGATCAAACAATTTTGCTTCCTATTGGATGGCACCATTTCTTTGCTGCCAATAATTGTACATTTACCTACCCACACTCATAGGACAGCAAACTCATCACCAGTGGTAAAACTTGGAAATCTCAGTGTGGCAGGGTGCTTCAACATTTCATAAATGGCATTCTGGCACTGAAAACAAATGTTCTGAACCATTGAGCTGGATGGATTTCTAGCATTAGTGCCCACAGTAACCAATGATTGTTGCTTGTTGGCAAAGTTTAATGTGCTGCAATGCTCAGCACAGGCACCCTGCCTTTTGATGTCACCTGACCTTTGGTGTGATCACTGCCACTGGCTACAGGCCATTATGTTCAAGGTAAAGTAGTGAGTGCCTAAAGTGACTTATCTGCTTTACCACTGTTAGGGGTCCTAGAGACAGGTGCTCTAGCCAAATGAGCTATCGAGGTGGACACATATGATGTTCATGTCTCACAGGCAGCTTTCCCATTGTGATTTATCATGCTGGGGATAATTTTTGCCTATCCCATCCAGATAACATGTTGTTCCATGCTTCCAGTGACATACTGGGTGCCTGGAGGAATGAAGCTGGCCTGATCATGCCATCAGCATGCATCCTGTGCTGTTCTTTGGAATTTGAAATGAATCGGTCTGAAGACCCTTTTTATACCATTTATATTGATGATTGTTGTCTGTGTTTCAGATTTATATGCTCCGGAAAACAGTTTGAATGAGTCATGGTGACTTGTGCAGTAGCAACATGCTGTAGCTCTCATCGTAACAGCCCCGACATATCTTTCTTCCGGTTTCCCAAAGACCCCCGTGCACGGGCGAAATGGGTCCGCAAGTGTGCGAGGAAGGAGAAGATTAATCCCATTACTGCTCATGTGTGCTCAAAACACTTTGTTCGATCTGACTTTGACCCTGGATACTTAATGAAGCGCTCATTGAAGATAAGCTCAAAAGCCTACCTTCGGATGGGAGCTACACCCTCCCTGGAGCTTCCCCCTGGCCAAAATAATAGTTATTATAGAAGGTTAGTTTGGAGTACTGGGAAAGATTGTGTGCTATTGGCTAGTATGTAGTGCAAATGTGTGTGTGTAGTACAGATCTGTGTGTGTAGTACTGCTGTGTTTGTGTCATACAAATGTGTGTGTCCTGTACAAACTAGACAGGGTTCGTGAATCTGTGATCATGCCTGTCAGCTGCATTTTTGAAATATGTTCCTTTAAGATGGCACAAAA